GGCGCGCGGCTCCGCGGTGCACGGGGGACGTGGGGGGCCGGGGCGCGTGGCTCCGCGGTGCGCGGGGGGCGTGGGGGTGCCGGCGCGCGGCTCCGCGGTGCTTGGGGTCGTGGGGGGTCCAGGGTGCGCTGCGCGTTAGAGCTGGGCGGCGTCCGGGCTGCAGACGTAGAGCGCTAGGCACCTCGCTTTGTGAATGGGCCCTGGGGTAAGGTTCTGCTGTCCGGGACCCGATGTGGGGAGCTGCCCTGGAGGCCCTGGAGCCACGGAATAGCTGCTGCAGCCGTGGGGCTCTTTGGGGCCAGGGCACCGGGGGCTGACGATGTGCGCGCCCTCCCACGTGTTCACATCTGCAAACCACCCCAACCTGGCCCCCAGACTCCTTCCTCTGATTTTTGGAAAGAACTACAGCTGGCGCTGCCGCGGAAGGTGCACTACAGGCCAGCGGAAGGAGACCCTCAGACGCAGCTGCAGGACGACAAGGACCCCATGCTGATTCTTCAAGGCCGAGTCCCGGAGGCCCGGGCCCTGGAAGAGGGCGACCTGGGTATGCCCATCCAGCCCCACTCTGGACCGGAGAAGCTCAGCCCAGGGCGTAGCGGGGGCAGGCACAGGGCAGACGGCTTGGAGGGGCCCCGGTGTTGAGGACTCTTCCTGGCACCGATGGCCCCTGCACAGCCTCTCTGCGCGGGGGTGCTCGGCCCTGGGCCTGCCTGGGAATATCCTGGACCTCACCGGCCCTCACTGCAGGGGCTGAGCTGGGACAGCCCCTAAGTGTGTCTGCGCCAAGGCTGTGGGTGGTCACCTCAGGCGCCTCGGTCTCCCCTCCCCAGGTATCCCGAGGCCTGTCTTTGGAGAGCCATCAGCTCCACCGAGCACGGGCGGGGTCTCGCTGGGAGAGGGCCGGGGCAGCGAAGTGGACGTCTCGGACCTCGGCTCGAGAAACTACAGTGCCCGCACAGACTTCTACTGCCTGGTGTCAGAAGATGATGTGTAGCCCCCACTCAGAATGGAGGATGATAAGGACATCGGGTGCCAGGACAGGGGGGTCGTTCCTCTGCTTAGCAAGACCACAACCCCTGTCTGCAGCCCTGGGAACCCCAGGGCAAGGCTGTGGCCCCATGGCCCCTCCCAGTGCCAGAAAATAAAGTCCTTTTGGATTCTGCCTGGGCCTCACTCTCCTTCCCTGCAGCAGCAGGAGATTTCGGTTTGGCTTCCCTCTGGGGCTCTCTTGGCCCTCCGCCCCTCCTTCCCTCCTCACCCCCTAAATCACCAAATCTGCCCCCTCCCCATCCCCCTTCCTAAGCTCGGGCATGTCCCTTGCTTACAGTAGCCTCCCTGCCTGGTCCCTGGTTGGGGATGTGACTGTCCCTAACCCTTCCCAATCCATGCAGACCCTCGATGGGCAGGCCCCTGGAGATCTCAAGTTCTGAGCTTCACAGAAGCTTTCTGTTTTAAGAACATCAACAGTAGGCTGGTGTGATGGCTCACGCCTGTAATCCCAGTACTTTGGGAGGCCAAGACGGGCGAATTACGAGGTCGGGAGTTCAAGACCAGCCTGGCCAACATAGTGAAACCCCATCTCTACTAAAAATACAAAAAATTAGCCAGGTGTGGTGGTGTGTGCCTGTAATCTCAGCTACTTGGGAGGCAGAGGCAGGAGAACTGGATGAACCTGTGAGGCAGAGGTTGTAGTGAGCCGAGATTGCAGCATTGCACTCCAGCCCACACGACAGTGCAATACTTCGTCTCAAAAAAAAAAAAAAAAAAATCCACAGTAACTTCACAACTAGACGGCCTGGCTCTGGGTGAGATGAGTGGGGTCCAGAGCCTGCTGGACCCCAAACCTCAGGCAGCCAGTGTGCGAGCCCCTGCTCCTGGCAACTCCAGGCCCAGGGTGGGTGGAGAGGGAGTTGGGTCCATTTGCTGCATGCGTACAGCCCACGAGGCAGTCCCCCTCCCCCACTCCAGTCACCCCTCTGCTCTTGAGGCCCCCAGCTCTGCTCCATGTGTGCCTATGGTCCCCCTGTGTCCACCCTGTCCCCTCTTGGGCCTGAGGTGCCCCTTGTCCCTCTGCTGGGCTCTCCCTGTCCTGTGTCCTCTGACCTTGGGAGGCTTGTGTGTGAGCCCAAGGGGTGGGTGTCCTCAGGGGCAGGAGGGTGCCTTGAGTCCCAGGATCAGCTGCCCTGGTCACACTGCCAGCCACAGGGTCAGGCCAGCCATGGAAGGGTGCAGGGCAGTGACTGTTGATGGCCATCTTTATTCCCATTGCTGGCTGTCCCAAGATACTGCCAGGCCACAGCCAGCCCCACCTCTGTCAGTGTGACTGGGTCACCACCCCACACACCCGAGCAGCCTCAAGCCCTGCCCCACCCCCTCCCTGCGGAAGCCAAGTCCCCAGTTATAAGCCCCTGTCCCTCCTGGTGGCCCAGGACCCTCAAAGGTGCACACAGGGGTCCCAGCAAGGGGCCCCTTGGTCATCAGCCTTCTCCTCCAGGCTGGGCTGAGTCAGGCAGCCCGGAGCTGAGTCTGTCTCTCGGACGCTGGGTCACGTCACCTTCTCCTCCTGCAAGAGGCTTCGCCTATGGGCCCAGGAAGTCCTCCTTCCGAAAGCCCTTCTACAGAGGAGAGAGGGCACAAGGTCATGGCCTGCCTGCCCTGCGGCCCTCTGCCCTCTGTCCACCCTGCACTGTGCTGGGTGCGGCCTAGACACTTCCTCTCTGCGCTTCTGGTCTCCAGCCACCCACTGGCCTCTTCGCCAACGGCTCCACGTGGGTTCCCGTGACCCTCCCCTGCGTCCCATGCCACGCACCCGCGTTTCTCGCCTCGGGCCCGGGGAACATACCGCCCGGAAGTCTCGGTGCAACTTGCTGTACTGCCACAGGTTGGCCAGGAGGCTGGAAGCTGCCCGGGAGGACTTCTCACTGTCAGGGCTGAGGGTGGAGGGCAGTCAGGAGGGGACACAGTCAGAAAGCAGGTGGCTGGGAGGGGCCGGAGCACCCCCTGGCTGGGCTGCCGCAGGGCAGGGCTGGCTCCCACCTGTCCCGCTTCTTCTTGATGAAGACAAGCTTTCGGAGCCCGTCGAAGTAGAGCAGGTCCCGGGCGGCGATGGGGCTGGCCACCACCAGGTTGTTGAGCACGGCTATGATGTTGACCAGCACCTCGGCGGGCGGCGACTTCTCACCCACGCTGCCCGGCAGCTTCTCAATCAGGTGGCTCACGACCTTGGTGGCTGCGGGAGGTCGGGGTCAGTCTGCACCCCCACTCCAGCCACCCGGGCACTGGGGGTCCCCTGCCTCCCCCAGGGAGCTGCGTGCCTGTCTGTCTACTCCACTGGCCCCAGTGGCCGGGAGCCCCCACGTAGCGTGTGTGGACCCGGCGAGGCGGGAACAGGACTGCTGACTCACACATCTCGTCCTTGTTCCGCGCGTTCCGGGACAGGTTTCGGATGAGGCCGGTCAGCGAGCGCAGCTGGTGGTGGTCGGCTGTGCGGACGCGGTCCAGCAGCGGGTTCAGGATCCGCTCCTGCTCCAGTGCCAGGCGGCTCAGCACCCCCGCCCACTGCGGGGAGAGAGGGAGGTCTCAGACCCTCACCTGGGGGGATCCTGACACCCCGGGGGGTGGGGGCTCTGCTTCTGCCTTTGCCCCCCAGCCGGGGCATCAGCTGCAGGCAGGGTCAGGTGCCTCCCTTCAAACTCAGGGCAGAACCTAAATCCTCCCAAGGCCCAAGGCCTGCCCACCGGTCGCTGACCTCAGATGCTCCGGGGCCCCGGCACCCCTTGCCCCCTCCCCTCCCCATCCCTCCCCTGCCCCTCCCCCCGCAGCATGAACTCCCGGGAACCCCTGGGTCTGCGGGTGCGCCCACCCTGCGGTCGCCCGCCGTGATGTTCTGCAGCGCCCCCGCGGCCGCCTCCGTCGTGTGCCGGTTGAGCTCGCAGCGCTGCAGCAGCCGGTTGTACAGACCCACGATCTGGGGGCTCCACAGCCACTCCAGGCCCTTGGGGTCCTTGGACACCTCCGCGAAGGTGAGCGCGTCGGCGGTGAGAGGCAGCTGCGCGGGGCGGGGCCGGGGTCAGCGGGGCCGGTGCGGGACCCATTCCCCACGCCCCGCCCGGGCCGGTGCCCACCCCTCCCCACGCCCCGCCCAGGCCGCTGCCCACCTCGCGCAGCCGCCGGCCCTGCGGCGTGAAGCAGCCCACCATCTCGCCCGGCGGCGCCCCGGCCAGGTCCCTGCGGCCGCGGCCCTCCAGCCGCTGCAGCGCAGACGGCGGCATCTCGTCATACAGGCGGTAGGAAAGGTTCCGCAGCACGCACACCGCGTTCTCCACGCTCTGCGGGCAGGGGCGCGGGTCAGGGCGCGGGTCAGGGCGCGGGCAGGAGCGCGGGTCAGGGCGCGGGCAGGGG